AATTTTGTTATAGAAAGGTTTTTGAAGTTCTAAAGATGGATTTGACTTGTCAAGGGTATAATTAAGAAGCTAGAAGCAATAGAATTGAATTTGGAACATGTTGAAAATTTAGTGTAATTCTTGAATTACATATGGAGAATAGGATTTTGATGTTAAAGAGGTGATTAATGAATAGGAATAAGTTTGAATATGAGTATGTAAGTTAAAAATAAGAAAGGGGATGATATATGAAGTATTAAGCTGAAAAGAGTGGATTTTCGGGCATAAAAGATGATTCTGGGCAGAGTGCATCGATGCATATTCATAGTGCATCGATGCATCAAGGTTAAAACCCATAAATCATTTGAAGGTGTATCGATGCATTGGTCGATGCACTCTTTTAAAATAGAAACATCGAATGCAATTAGTGCATCGATGCATAAGTCATGCATCGATGCATCCCAGTAATAATACAACATCGAATGCATTTTATGCACCGATGCATCAGTAGTGCATCGATGCATACCTTCATTAAAAGATGAAATTAGCTTTTCTCTGAGCCTAAGGAGTGATAGTTTCGAATATATCAATCAGTATAATGATAAGTATTAATGTATTATTATGTAGATATAGAATGAAAGCTTGTTCCGGAACAAACTAAGGATTAGGATTGATTCAAAACAACGAGGCCCAGGTGAGTGCATCTTATTGTATAAGATTATATCGAAATTTGGACTTGTGATAAGTCTATTCTTATAGTAATAGCTCATTAAGTCTTGATTATAAGTATGTTAACGATATGAAGTGTATGTATGTTTGATTATATGAATTGATATGTTTTGTTTTGTATGTGCTATGTGATTTATGTAAAAATACGGTTAAGTGTTAATGAGAGAATATAAAATAAGTTATGAAATTATATGAATATAGAAGATAAGTCAAGAGATGTAGGGAAATGAAAATAGATGTTTATAAAGATTCATAGGAGAACAAATATAAGTAATATGATAATGAAATATAAGGCTATGTGAATACATGGTTATGAGATAAAATATGTAAGAATAGGAAAAGATGATGAGAGTGAGTTCATGAGAAGTGATATGAACTAGGTAAACATGAGTTGGACAAGTACATAGTGGTATGATCCATTATGGGAATTAGTATAATAGAGCTTTTTGATTTAATGAGAGTTAAGGGAACTAAATAAGATTGAATTATAGAATGAAATGGGAATAGTATATCAATTAGGAAACTTGAATATAAAGGGACGATACGAATATACAAGATAAGTTATATGCTAAATATCTATGGAGCTATATGAAAAGATTATAATGAAATTATGAAATTGAATTAAGTAAATAGATTAAATTATTACCTAAATAAAAATACTATTAAATGATATATATTTAGAAATACGATATAAGCTATGTGAAAGTGTTCTAGGTGTTTCTATATGTTATATGAAGTATATGATCATATGTGAACAAGATATGATAAGTATGTTTACATGAATAAATGTGATTGGGTGAGAAATGATAGAAATTATATGAAAACATGTATATGTGAATTAGCTTTGTAATTAGGTAAATATATGAAATCATAACTATGAATTATGTGATGTGAAAGTAATCTATGTGATTATGTTATATGAATACAAGAACATGAGATATGTGACATGTGAATTATATGGAAATGATCTACGTGTAAGTGAACTATGTGACTATGTGATAATATGAAAAGAAGCTATGTGATACGTGATATGTGAAAGTGAATTACATGTTTATGTGAATATTTGAAATGAAATAAATGATAATGCCCATGTTATGTGTCATGAGAGCTAGGGGTATAGTTGGCATGCCAAGAGTCGAGGGTCTACGCGGTCCTTCGGGACATATGTATATTCTTTGGAACATTTATGAGGTCTTTGAGGCACATACTTGGTCCTTAGTATATGTATATGATTCTTAAGGAATGATATGTAGTCCTTATGGACATTATTATATGGCACTACGGTGCAATTCTACGCGGTCCTTCGGGATATATATATATTCTGTGAAACATGTGTGAAGTCTTGTAAGACACATACTTGATCCCTAGTATATGTATATGATTCTTAAGGAATGATATGTGGTCCTTATGGACATTATTATATGGCACTACGGTGCAATTCTACGCGGTCCTTCGGGATATATATATATTCTGTGGAACATGTGTGAAGTCTTGTAAGACACATACTTGATCCCTAGTATATGTATATGATTCTTAAGGAATGATATGTGGTCCTTATGGACATTATTATATGGCACTACGGTGTAATTCTACGTGCACTTCGGTGCAATGATACGAGCTGTGGTGACAGCATTAGTGCACAACCTCTATAGACTCACATATCGATAGTTCTCACAAGTGTACCATGGGCTAATCAAAGAGATAACATAAATACAATATATATAATGTATATGCTTTTGGTGAAATGATATATGAGTGATATGATATACAAAAATGATAAGTACAAGATCATGTGATAAATAATTTGATGATAATGATAGAGATAATGATAATAATATATATGATATGCTAAGAAATAGATGATGATATGTACATGAGTGTATTTGTTATATAAAAAGGTGTGTGATTTTGTATGAAATTGTTATATGATTTTGTATGATAAGTTAGTATTAAATGTTCATGTGTTTTGTTATATGGAATGTTTTATGATTTCTATTATATGTTTTATTTGTCTCACTAAGTCATCGACTTAGCGTGTGATTGTTTCACACGTAGGTTCGAGAAGAATATAGAGAGCAATGTGTAGCAAGACAGGTCAGTTACTTCTTACCGAATATCAGATCAGAAAAGATGTTTTGAATTAGATGTATTCTGTACATTGAAAATGGTTGGCATGTAAATAAATGTCTGAATTGTATATGCACTGAACGGTTTTGCAAAAACATTTAAGCTCTGAATAGTTCTGGAAATCTTTTGAATAAGCTACATGTATAAAAGTTTTAAATTACTCACTATTTTATACAAGTAAATGTTTTGAAAAAGTCAATGTGACACCTCGGACTCGAATCCAGGTCGGGTACGGGTTGGGGGTGTTACAGCTCATGTTCATGTACTTATATTTTAGTCTTGTTGTTGCCTATTATGCCATTAATGTAAATATTTGACTTTGACCTCAATGTTTTTAAATAATTTAATTTAGTCATTGATGTTATGTGTTTTGAATTTTCTTTGTTATTTAATTTTTGTCATGGAATTTGTAAATAGTTCATTTCAGTCATTGTTGACATTCGGTTTAATTATGTTTCAGCCCTCCATGTTCATGTTTTATTTTATTTTAGTTATATATGTTATTTACGGGTTATTTCCATTTTTAGTACTTGTATTGTTTAATGCTTGTAATTTTGGGCTCTGATTTATTTGTAATTACTGTTGTAGTTCCTAAGTTTCTATTTGTTTCATTTTAGTCCTAAATTCATGTTTATGCTAATTCAGTCCTTTAATGTTCTGTTTTGTTCTTTTAGCCCTGAAGTTTCTATTTTATATATTTTAGCCCCTAAAGTTTTTTATTTTGACTCTTAAATTTCTGTTTTTATTGTTTTAACCATTTAAGTTTATGTTTTTACCATTTTTGTCCCTTAAGTCTTGTTTATACTATTTTGGATCTTTGATTTTATATTTTTGCTATTTTGGTCTTTATAATTTCAAGTACTTACTTTTTTGCTCATTTTATTTCAGTTTGTAATATTTGTTAGTTTTCATTTTAGTCCCTAATGTATGTGTATTATGTTAATTTTACTTTGCATATTTATACATGTATATGTTGTTTATTACGATATGTTTATTTATTAATTAAATTTTAGTTGGTGCCCTTTGATTATTTTTAAGAACATTTGTCATAGAATGGGTGTGAAAAGTACCCCCTTACGGAGGAGGTGCGATTCAATACACCATTCGAATGAAAGGAAAATTTGAGATAAATCAATTTCTATTTTACTAATTAATTTGTTTATATTATGATTCAAATGATGCAATGAGTATTGTTGTAAATATCAATTTGTTTTATTTCATACAAACTGTTTATATTTAGTTTATATTCTATTTTTTTTATCGATGAGGGAATATTTTTTACGAATAAGAAATAGACGAGATAGCTTTCCCGACGGAGGATTGCTAATCTCGAAGTTTCTTTTCAAGTTAAAGAATTTTCTCTAATTAATTATTTCGAAGCAAATTAATTAATTTCGATAAATGAATCATATTTTAATTGTCGATGTGAATTCATTATTTCCACCATTTACGACAACGTGTAAGTGACGCAGTACCAATTTTGGGCGTGGTGGGGTTGCTAATCCTTCCCCACGCGTAACCAACTCCCGAACCCGTTTAAATATAATCTTTGGTAAACGCAGACCAGTTTTCGTCCTAAAAATGATTTTTCTTAAAATTGTTTTAAAAGACTTTTTTAGGTATTCGACCTACCTAACCCAAAGGTCGATGACGACTCCTATTCCTTTAATCCAAATTCCTCAAATTTTCCAAATTAAAGTCATAATCGTTTTAAAATAATAATTTAATTGTTTTATTAAAAAATGGTTATGACACAAGGTTCTTTCTCAATCCTTCACCTTTATCACATGATTGAGAGCATGTGCATGCAGAGAAGACACTTCTTCAAAGCAGACACATTCTCTTGTGCAGAAAGGGCTAATGCCAAGCTTTAAAGGGGTTGATCGCCCCTTGAGCATGTGCATATATCATACTGAGATTCGTGAACTCTTAGGTTGCAGATTTGACATGGGTTCAAGATATTGAAGATTAACTGGCAGTGGCCGTTCTTTTCGTAAGTGCGAGTTTTGATGTGCTTTGTGAGTTTTGTGACGAGTTTTCGAAGCACGAAACGTACAAAGAGACAGAAATCAATGCTATTATGCTGCTTCATAGTGGAAGAAGAGAAAAATGACATGCACCATTATTTGGGATCGTGCAGCCTTATTCATACTGATGAATTTTTGGCTATAATTTTGTATATTTACATTTTCACGAAGGGCAAACAGACTAAATAGGTCCCTAGGTTGAGTATTCATTGTACCAAAACCTGAAATAACTTGAGGACTAACTTGTAACTAAATGCTTATTCAAGTTATAGCTGCAATAGATAATTCATTTTTAGTTCAAATTTATTATTTGTCCAGAAAAACACACACACACACACAGAGTAAACACATTGATAAACAAACAGTCCAAGAAAAAGTACAATCTCATCAGCCACAAATATATGAGCAAACCTTGTATATTATTTGTCTCTGTAGCAATAGCAGAAGATTACCATTAAACTACTCGCAGACAAATGCAGCATCAACATGATGGTCGCTGCAGTAAAGGCCAGGGCGCTGAGTGAAACCCTGTCTTTTAAGCAACTGTCTGGCCTTAAGAACAAGCTCTTGATTAGTAACGCTGCCATCCGAATCAGCAATTATGGTTTGAATGGCATTGCTGAGTGCTCCATAAGCTTGACTTGCATTTCCCGATGGACTGGCATCTGCCGAAGTTTGGTCGGTCTGGCAGCCGCTGATAAGAATTCCGCTGTTGGGAAGAGAGTGCTTGGATGCTCCTGCATATGCCTCTTGCTTTCTACTCACTTCGGTCTTGAGTGCCGGCTTTCCGTACTCTTCGTCGTCATCCAGCTTTTGCTTCAGAAACTGTAGTGCCAAACCCCCAACCTTCCCCATGAACCCACCGTCGTCGCCATCATCGTCACCCTGTAGTTTGGTCATGATGATCTTCATAAACTTCTTCACTTTGGGGCTTGCGTCTTCCCCGAATACATCAAAAAGGGTCGGTCTCAGCTTCCCAACATCAATGTCATCTTTGCCAGTTTTCTGCTTCAGCATTTCAATTAGAGTTGAGAGCGGCAGAGATCTGCTCTTCACATAGCCACTCTCATCATAGTCTTCCACCACTCCTCTGTCATCCACCTCTTCCTCATCATGGTGGCGGTGGCGAAATTTCGAGGGGACATGAATTCCACGAGACTCAAAGGCACCTTGCAAGGTCTGGTGCAAGAAGTTCTTGAAGTCAGATTGTGATCCTGAATCTGAATCTGCATCCTTGGTGCTCTCACCAATTTGCTCTTTGGCCTCATCAATCAACCCCCCACTATGGCATGAATCCGATACGATTGTTATGCGGCAACCTTCTGGGACTTTATCCACCAAGTCTCTGAAATCATCATCTGTGCACAACCAAACACCACCATCGACTTTCAACTACCGTGCAAAAAACCATCTATCTAAAACCAATCAAATAAGTATGCAAGCCATCCATTCTAAAAAAATTCCAGAATTCACATCCCCTACTGAATGCCTCAGTCTAGCAAGGAGATCCTAGACTAGAACAAACCAAATCTGATCATGAGAAACACAGATCTACATTCTACAACTTATATAGCAAAGAAACAAAAAAGTTTAAGAAAGAAAGAAGAACCGGTGATAAGATTCATATCGCAGGGGACGATGCACTCATCATAGCCAGTATCATCGTCGTCCCCAGTCTCAGCAGGAAGCCTGGTGCCATGCCCACTGTAGTGCACAAACAGAAAATCCCCAGGTTCAGCCGAACTCACGAGTTCATTCAAAGCACGCCTGATGTTCTTCCCCGTGGGCTGATCGTACGAACTATCGGTATCTATCAACACCTTTATGTCCTCATCGGAGAATCCGTAGCGTTGTACAAGGCAATTGTACATTCTCTTCACATCGTTTATGCAGCCTTTCAGCGCCGCCTTTGTGCCTGGATAGTTGATTCCGATCAACACTGCTTTCTTCGCCATCGAATCAAAACTAATTTCTTCGCAAAATTCTGGTTGATTTGGTTTTGATAAAAAAAAGGTGGAGTCAGAGTGATAGAAAAGCTGTTGTCTTTTGTAGGTGGAAGATGATTGACTATTGGCTGGCCACATCAATTATCTCACTGTTTCTCTCATGGTTAAAGTATAACACAAGTCACTAAACTATGTTCAAATGTTTATTATGATAGTTAAAATTTTAAAAATAACTATTAAATGTGTAAACCACTACGCAATGATCATTGAATGTTATAATAAAGATAAAATTTTAATCAATTTGATAACTATTTTATAATAAATCTATAAAATTTAATGATTATTTTGTAATAGTTTAAGAAAATTCAATAATCGATGATAAAAGTGAGTGTTGTTCTCCTTTGAAACTACGAGTTTGAGTAGTTACATCTATAAGGTATGCGTCTATTTTCAATAGTTAAGAAAAATTCTGAACATATAATATCTTGTAATCATTCTAAACTATTAAAAAAATAAATATTATTATTTTTGTAATTGTTTAATAAGTTTAGTGACTATTTTATAATTTTTAAAAGTTCATTGGAAAAAAACTATTATTTAGCCATAGTTTAATGATCTATGATATATTTTATCCTTTTATCATTTAGAAATTTATTTATTTATTTATTAAACCCCTTCTTTTATTTAAATGGCCATTTTCTTTCCAACTGGCATATGCACATGATTTTTATAACTTAATTTTTAATTTATTAAAGATCATATATTTTTTATTAATTAAACGAAGGTGGGTCTAAAACTATATTACTGGTAAAGTGATAAATTATTTTATTTAAGGAAACTCAATGTTTTTTTTAAATAATTGATATAATTATAAAAAAAACGTTTCAAAAATAATAGGAAAAAAGGGCAAAGCAACCAATGTTGAAATATTAGTTAATTGGATGAATTAAGTTGTTATTTTATTGAATTTAAGCTATAAAATTCATTTGATGCAATAAAAACATGTTTCAATGATAGTTTGTTATAATTTCTCTCTTAAAATTGGTCAGAGACAGACCTAAAGAGATAAATAGATATTTACGTTAGAAAAATTATAGATTTAAATTATAGATCTAAATTATAGATCTAAAGTGTTGTTACGATAATCACGGGTATAAACAATAATATTTCAAAAGGTATCAGTGTTACTATATAACGACTACTATTCTGATAACCGACCTCTATTCACATATACGAGAAGGATATGATGGAGGGAGAGGAAAGAATACTATGTTTGATTATGGTATGTAAGTTGTCTACAGGCAAAACAATCATCAACCACAATTAATCGCAGATAAATGGAGCATCAACAAGATAGTCGCTGCAGTAGAGGCCTGGGCTCTGAGTGTAACCCTGTTTATTAAGCATTTTCCTCGCCTTCAAAACAAGTTCTTTATTAGTAACAGTCCCACCCGACTCTGCAAGTATTGTTTGAATGCCATTACTAAGTGCTCCATAAGCTAGATTCGGATTTCCCGGCGGGCAAGCATCCGCCGATGTTTGGTGCGTCTGGCAACCGCTGATAAGAATTCCGTTGTCGGAAAGAGAGTACACAGTTTTTCCTCTATGTTCGATCTAAAGCGCCCATTTCCCGTACCCTTCGTCTTTAACCAGCTTCTGTTTAAGAAACTGCACACCAGACTCCCGACAGTCCCCGTGAACCCTTCGTCTTCATCCTGTAGCTTCGTTATAACGACCTTCATGAACTTCTTCACTTTGGGGCTCACGTCTCCTCCGAACACGTCGAAGAGGGTCGGCCTCACTTTCCCGACATCGATGTCGTCTTTACCGGTTTTCTGCTTGAGCATCTCGATTAGAGTTGGGAGGGGGAGATGCCTGCTTTTCACGTTATCACCGTCGTCGTGTATTCCACGACCCTTGACAGCTTGGTTGAAGAAGATATTGAACACAGACGACCCTGATTCTGAATCGGAATCGTGGTGCTTGGTGGTGGTGCTCTCACCGATTTGCTCTTTGGCCTCTTCGATTAAGCCTCCGCTGTGGCATGAATTCGATACTATTGTTATGCGACTGCCTTCTGGGACTTCGTCCACCAACTCTCTGAAATCATCATCTGTGCACAACCACCCAACAACACCATTAACGAACCGTTCAACAAAAAACAAGATCATCAACTATATCCATAGGGTGTAAAAAATCAAAGCATTCGAGTATAAATAAATTTTTTATGTTTATTTAAAAAAGGAACGAATACAAACACGATCGACTCATTATAAACTCATTTACCATGTTCTTTTTTTTCTTTTTTTTTTTATATTTTAAATATTATTGAATGTATAGACTAAATTGAGTATAGGGTTAATTTTAGAGTTCAAACTATAAAACCTAAGGAGTTAAGGCCTAATGACATAATTTCACTATTTTCCTTTGTATCGCAATAAAAGTATAAAGAATAAACATGTTGACAAAATTCTAAATCAACATGTTTGTGAATATTAAACAATATATCTTTGAACATTAAACGAACCGAACATAAATAATTTAAAAGAGTTATTTTACTATTTTTATCATTTATAAATTATTAATTGATTAATTAATTTTAACCTTTGTTTATTAATATAAAAAAAGTATGCACCATTAAGCAAAAGAGTGAGGGCCTATAAGAAATATTCTTATCCACGGGCTATTTAAATCCATGACAGCACCTCGAGTGGTAGTGAACGGCTCATCGATGAGTATAGTTGATAGAAATAAATCGATTATACCACTAATAAACGGTTCATTTTTTTTATTTAAGTAAATATTCACAATTGAAGATGATACGATAGTGGATCGATATTTAAATTTTTATTTTTATAAAAGATAAAAAAATAATAAAGAAAGCGGTTCGAGATATTTCTTTTAATCTTCACAAAAAATTTTTACAATAATTCTTTTTGTTAGTGTCAAACATAAATCATTATGACTATTACTAAGTTGATAGGTTTAATAGATATGATTTATTAATAATAGATTTTGTTATGATAAATCACGTAAGCCTATAAAAAATCATATTAAGATCACACGATTACCCAAAAGGTGCAAAGCTTTGGAGACCCTATGTTTGAGAGGTTCTCCTAAAGCTTTAATTGCGGTAGGGTTATCTGGATAATATCGATACAAAATATCTATTTTCACTATTATTTTTTATTTTCAAAATGATTTTTAATGATCATTTAAATGTTTGGCGTATTTCTTGTCATTCATGTCTTTAAGCAAACACTCTAAACCTTTTAAATCTGGGAAAAAAACTCAAACTCTACAAAATAATGGATTTTTTTGTTTAATTTTATGAATTTGAAAAAGATTTAAAGATATTTAAACCGATAAAGTGATGGAGGACAATGAGACGAGTATATTGATATTTAGAACGATCATAAAAGATATTAAAGAGTGACAAATTTCATCAACAATTAAAAAAATTAACTTTGATGAAAAAGATAATGAATTATATTTAAACATACATGGTTTTGTACTTATCACAAATTAATTAAAAAAATAAAAATAAATAATATAACTTTAATGATTTAATATTAAAATAAATATCAAACCTAAAATTTAATGGTAACTAAGTGGTTTACTTAAATTTTATTTAGTTTTTGATAAATATTTTTTTAAAAGTATAATGGATTAATGATGTGTTACCTGACCCACCGAGCGGCATCACTGGGGTGGCTTCGAAAATAATAAAGGAGGATAAATGGTGAAAAGAAAATGGGATTCGAAGAAAATATGTAGTTACTTCAGACCTCACATACTTCAGCAGTGAGGGCACAATTACAATTTTGTGAATTAGGGTTAGTAGCAGTGGCCGAAATGGCCAACCGATTTTACGGTTACTCTTCCCCATCCCCATCCTCATCCCCTTCCGCCTCCACTCTCCAACGCTATCTCGACGCCGACACCACGACTCAGTCTCAGTTGTTTCACCAGCTCCACCCATATGCCGCCGCCGCACTCATCAAACGCTCCTCTCAAGGTAACCGAACTACCTTCAAATTATATACATCAACTGTTTCTTTTAATTTCAAGTATTGCATGTACAAATCCGATTATCAGTTTTATTTCTTTCTTATTTATTGAGTTTTGAACGTTTTCCTTGTTACGAAACTACCTTCTTAGATGCTCGTTATTGGTTCTAAACATTGATGCTAAAGGTTAGCTTTAGCATTAACCTTTACTTGCCTTTCAAACTTTTAGTTTAACACTTGTTCTGTATACTAAATAATGTCTACTTCTTTGTCTTTGTGTGGTTTCTCTTCGATAGGTGCACTGATGATATTGTTATTGAGCTTATTCTGTACTAACGATTCTACTTTTAGCTGTAACATGGTGTGAGATTTATTGCAATCTCGGAAGGAACCTGCAGGCTATTGGCCTGAATCAGCTTGTTCAAAACTTGTCCCATCTTGTATATGTAATTTTGTAGTACTAGTATTGTAAGTAATCTTGATCCTAGTTTAACTGTTAACGACTTTGGGCATCTCCCAAGGACGGTAATTAACTTTGTATCTAGTCTAACTATGCTTCTAGAGTTCAGTAATATTTTCTTTCTCTAATGAAAAGTTTATAGTATTTGTAATTTTCTAAGACTGTTATTTGGTATATAATTCCCAAACCATTATCTTCTTTATATAAAAGCACTTTTTATGTCCAACTTATATTATTAACATATGTATTTCATGTTTTTGTTGCATATAACTACTATGCACTATAGTTCTCTACCATCAGAATGTTTTGGATACCCAAAACTCACTTGGGCAGCTTGAAGCTTGGTATTCTGCTAGCTCTTTAGTTAAGCGACCTAGATTGGAGAGTGCAAGCAATTTACCTATATATCCTCAACGGCCAGGAGAAAAAGATTGTGCTCATTATATGCTCACAAGAACCTGTAAGTTTGGAGATAGCTGCAAATTTGATCATCCTATTTGGGTTCCCGAGGGTGGAATCCCATATTGGAAAGAGGTGACCGTTTATTGCCATCTTTTTTGCACCAATGATGATGAATCTTACTAGACTATGCCTATAGAAATTACTTTTATTTGGGTACAATATAAACATGACTATTTGAATGAAATTTATTTTCAACTTTTTACATATCTTTTATTTTAATAAGTAGTTAAGTACTATTATATACGTACTATTTATCAGCTATAAAGTATATGATTGCTTCTTTTATGCCTGGATAAGCATATTTGATAGGCTTGTCTGGTTATTTTGTAGTTTTACTAGTATTTAAAAGATTTTGTACCACTATAGCATTATGCTTGCATGTTTTATGAAATTCAATTACTATTCTAAATAATATCTAGTAATTAGGTAATAGAGAAATGACCCATTTTTCTAAAATGGTTTCGAAAATCCATCCTCTCTTCGAATTTTATGTTCCTGTTATTATCATAACTGAATAATTATTATTTTTAGTTAATACCATAATAATCTGATTTCTTGTTATATTTTTTGGAACTACCAAGGCTCTGAACATTCTTCAGGCCTAAATATATATATTTTAAAGATTTTTTTTGAAAGAGAACATATTATTAATCAGTCAAAGGAACAAAAGCAAAGCCCGGGGTCTCGTTAGAAAACCTACCTACACCTAAATGGAGGAAAAAGAGTGCACCCGAGCATTGCATCACAGACTGCAATAAGCCAAAAGACAGAACAATTACAAAACAAAACCATCCAATGACCCTGCAACATAACCAAATCCAAAACCATAACCAGGAACGAAGGTTATCCAACACCGACGCCTGCAACTAATTTGGCCAGTTGATCTGCCGCTGTGTTCCAACTTCTCGGAATATGCCTCACAATGAAATTCTCTCTAAGGGATATCTCAGCCAAGGGTTTAAGGACTCCTACCCATTCACTAGGAATCGACCCTGGGTTTTTGAGCCATTTCACCACCATCTCGCAATCACACTCTAGAATGAGACCAACGGACTTGAACCAAACAGAACCCAATAAAAACGTTAACCGCATGATCCACTACTAAGATCTCAGCCAAAATCGAAGACCTGTCTTCGATGGGAACCAAGAAGGAGACCAACATGTTACAATTTGGGTCTCGGAGAATCCCCCTAATGCCGCCACCACTGCTATCGACTCTCATTGACCCATCGGCGTTAAACTTAACTAAACCAGTTGGGGGAGGAATCCAAACCAGCGGAGAACGCGAATTTTTTTGATAAGGATGCTGTCTTTCATACATATATATAGAAGTTAAAACATGAGTGAGAAAGGTAAAGGCGTAGAGAGAGAAAAGATGAAAGGTCAGTCTTTCTCCGGTGAGGAATGGACAACTTTCGTCTATAATCTGAGCAAGAGAGTTTCACGAGGGGTGCTAAGGGAACTGTTCCTTTTTCAAGGTCCTGTAGTGAGTCTTCATCCCAAGAGAAACGAAGAGTCCTAGATACAAATCCTCCATTTTTGCCTTTGTGCAATTCGACAATGAGGCAGGTTTGAGGAAAGCTATCGAGAAGAATGGATCGCTCATTGATAGGAGGAAAGTTTCAGTAGGAGTTGCAAAATATCGAAATGAAAGATTAAGGACAGTGAGGACAAAACGAAGTCTGAATGTTGCTTCGATGTTGGAGTTAGAAGAAAGATCTAAGTTAAAAGAGAAAGTTGAGTTGTCGAAGAGTATTAGGGATTATAGGTCCTACAAAGATGTTCTGCTGACGGACAGAAGGCAGAAGAGTGATTTGGAGTAGAGGGAGAAAAGGAATGACAATATAGACAAGGTTATAGGGATAAGGAATGTATGAGAAATGCATATCCCTTCTGAAAGTTCAAGCTGGGTGAAAAGATCATTAACGAGGATTGTCAAACATTCTTTCGAGTTGGAGTTGTTGCAGAAGGTTCTGTTCAATGAGGATTATGAAGTTCAGATTGCAAGTTGGGCCTATGTCTGGAATTATTGCATTGTAACTTTCAAAATGATCGAAGAAATGTCGGAGGCATGGCACCTTTGCTGAATGAAGAAGAAAGAGGAGTTACGGTTCTGGTTTGATCGACTGACACCTTTGCTGAATGAAGACGGAGTCCTATGGTTTATTGCTAGGTAGAACTTTATGGTGTCCCTATTTTATGCTGGGATGATTCCTTTCTGGTAAGACTGGCGGGGAGATGGGGGATGGTTAACTGCATTGAAGAATTGACTCGAAATAGGAAGGATCTGTCGAAGGCAAGAATTCTGATCAAGGTGGCAAGTCCGTTCGACGTCCCGGAGGTGATCAGTTTAGGTTCGTATGGCAGGTCATTCAAGGTACGTACAAAACTGGGGTCGATGTCGGATTTTTTGAGTTTTTTTCAAAGTCAATCGGCGGAGAAAGTTTTCGATGAGAGAGTCATTGAGGAAAGCTTCATCGGAAGAGGATGTCGTCAGTCGAACGTCAATTGATGTAAGTGCTGGAAAGTCAATTGAGAGTAGACGGCAGAAGGTTGTCACATGGATTGAGCAGGGGGTGGGTTATGAGTTGATGGGAGTTGGTGAGGGACAACAGTCTCCATTTGGAAAAAGGAATGAGAAACGCATTAATAACATGCTGTCAGACTCCATTGACTTTGGCAGAAAAAATGTTGGAGAGTTTGCGGGTCTAGGCATCAGAAATTTGGTTTTTTTAGATACAAGTTCTCAGGCCCAATCAGTGGGCAATAGTGAGTCCGATTCCCCTATCTCTAGGATTATTCATGCTAGGTCAGTAATTAATTTAAAGGGGTATGGGTTTATGGGTAAAGAAAAAAATCGGGTTTCCGGAAGAGAGGAGGAGGTCCTGTCGTTTCAACAGAGTTTACAGCAGATCTACAGCGAGAAAAATTTGGCATCACAAGGAGCAGGGCATTTTTTCTATTACAACAGAGGATGAAGATGAACAGAGGGACATGGCCTTAGTTGTATGATCGGGTCATATATCAAACCCGGAGGCAAATATTTCTAGAGAAGATTTCACGCACATTTTTTCCCATGGCCAAACAATATTTCGAGGGCAGTTAAATCCCAATGAAGGATGTCATTCGGGTGATTGCAATTCTGATATTATGAATGAGAAAATTAATAGGAGGTTTAGAAGATCTTTGATAAGGGATGCGTTAGAGTAGGTCAGCATTCCTACAATCTCTTCCTCTGCTTTCTCAGTGCTGATGAAGGAAGCTCTAGCTACTTGGGAAGTTAGCAAGTTATCGGGTGTTTCCTTCAAGGATGGGAAGAAAGCCTTTTTGGAAAAAATTATGAATTTGGAGAAAGGAATTAATTTAGCTAGGTGAGGTGGCTGCCTTTGTGCAGGATAATTAGGGTCTTTGATTTTCATATGTTGATGCCTGAGTTTGCTATTGTTACATAGAATGTAAGGGGTTTGGGTAAGAAGGAGAAACAAAGAGCAGTTCAGAATTTGGTTTCCAAGCATAATCCGTCTTTTCTTTTTTTGCAAGAAACCAAAATGGAGAATTTTCCTACATCTTTTTTTTAAAAGGAAGGGGTTGAATAATTTTCAAGGGGTTGTAGTGTCGCCAGCTGAAGGATCCTCAGGAGGTCTTGTAAGTTCTTGGAATGATATTTTCGAAGTGGAAGATCATTTTGTTAACAGAAGGTTTATATCCATCTTTGGGAAGTTTAGAATTAATAATTTTAGATGCGGTTTCATTAACGTTTACGGGTCTTCCATGGAGGATGAGAAAGCTAGCTTTTTGAGGAACTTTGTTTATATCTGGCTAGTCACAATATCCCTTTATGTGTGGGAGGGGATTTCAACGTCTATTTATCAGATGAAGAGAAGAAAGGTAGAACCCAAAATAGGAATTCTTTGGAGATTTTTAGGCTTTTTATTCTTCAAGCTGGCTTAATTGATTTACCTTTATCTGGAGGAATGTTCACTTGGTGCAATAATCGGGATTATCCAACTTTCGTTAGACTAGACGGGTTCTTGGTGGATTTTAATTTCTTGACAGCCTTTCCGGAGATCAATCAGTCTCTTCTTCCCAAGTCGGTTTCAGACCATAATGCCATCATTCTTGAAAATGGGGGAGCAAATTGGGGCAAAAGACCTTTCAATCTATTCAATTATCTAATGGAAGAGGCTGGTTTTGAGGAGTTGGTCGTTTCGTCTATTAAAGAGTTTAAGAAAAATCAGAAAAGAGCTGGAATTTTAAGTATTCTGATAAGCACGAAAATTGCCATTAAAGATTGGTCTGGTTTAAGGGGTCAATGTCCTAGTGCTTCAATCTTTGATGTAGAAGGAAAAATTCACAGTTTAGCAATGGAGCTACAGTTGAATCATAATTCGAATGGGAATGTTGCAGATCTAGTTTCGCTGAGGAAGGAACTGTGGAGGCTTTATAGAATCGAGGAGCAGATTTGGTTCCAAAAATCGAGAGCGAAATGGGTGAAAGATGGAGATCGTAATTTAAGATTCTTTCATGCCTGTGCTTCCATAAGGAAGAGGTTGAATTTTCTTAATGTTAAAGGATTCATCATCAAAGATCCGGCTCATTAAGGCAAGTGTCCGAGATCATTTTTCGAAATTTATAACAACCAATCTACCTTGGAAGTCGAAGACGTGAGGTTGAATTTTGCTAGTATTTCCTTGGAACAATGTCTTATTCTAGAAAAGTTCTCGGAGGAAGAAATTTGGGTGCCTTAAACTCGTGCGATAGCAATAAAGCTCCGGGGTCGGATAGTTTGAATATAGGTTTTTTCAAGAGGTTTTCTTCCTTTCTAAAAGAAGATATTTTGAGATTTTTTCACAATTTTTTCGTTGGCAAAAATTGGGAGCACGGGATCAATCATACCTTCATTACTCTCATCCCTAAGGGTTCCAACATTGATGGCTTAGATGACTATAGACCCATCAGCTTGGTTGGGGGGATGTACATGATTCTTTCCAAGTGTCTTTCGAGGAGATTGAGATGGTGCATTAATGATATCATCAGTTCTTCAAAATTTGCTTTCATCCCTGGTCGACAAA